CCCTAGTGCCATGAACAACAGATAAACCCACAGCTCTATGTAACCCTTTACCACAATAAACCCTTAATAATCTTGTACCACCACACCACCCCTACTACCCCATTGGTGATACGATTCACCCCAACACAGCACGACAAATGAAAAAAAAAACCACCAATATACTCATTACCCGTACCCTTCAACTACTTACCCCTGCAGTAAACTGCTTAAAATACCACCAATGCATTCCTTGTCATCCATGACCTGTACCATCTGCTGCCGGCAGAATGTGGTACGTGTTGCCTTGCTTCCTCGCACACACTCTCTCTCGCTCAACCTCAGACTCGGTACTACGCAGGGTACGTCTACGCCCTCCATAGCTACCTGACATAGGAGGTTTTCCATCTTCCCCTTCCTTGGTAACTGCTATTAGCCCACTTAGCGGGGCAAACGCAGTTGCAGTGGGTTGTGATCGGCAGAACGCTGGCAGAGAAGCCTGATACTGCGACCACTTGGGCCTACTCCATCAGGAGTTGTGAAGTGGATGGCAGCCATAGACGAGTTCATCGCCGAAGCCGAAGCCAACGAGCACATGGTAAGTTCCTCACAGAACACCTACGGTTCTTGTCCACATCACATGCCCCCTCACTACCTCTGGGAGCCAGAGTCATACACCCTTTGATGAGTCGTGACAGGCGCAAGAGGGGAAAAGCGCTTTAGGGGATGTGCCATCCCTACTCCGCTAGCCAATATTGCTAGTGTCCGATGGCACCTACCATCACGCTCCCTCTCCTATCTCCTTTCTCCCCTCCAAATCCTTTGCCATTGATATGTACCGTCTTTGTATGCAGGAACCATATGATATAGCAATGGTGTGGTATGATGCCTCTCCTGACTAGGTGCAAAGGGAGTGTAGTCAACTCCAAGGTATGTTATGGTTCACGTATGGGTTGCTATGGTTGCGTTATGCACTTTACACACATACATCGGACTATGTCCTATCGCAATACAGGGGTCAATTCCCCTGTCGACCTCTTTACGTGTACCTGTGGATGTTGGCCACTACACTATATACACTAGCAGAAGATGATCTACGCTACTACAATCCTTATCTGGTTTTGCACGAATATGGTACATGGCGACATAGCAAGTGCATGCACTGGCAATTGGAGACAAGATATCCCCTATACATACATACATGAAAAATACTCTCCCCCGTCAAATTCTCCCGCACATATATACACCCCTAGGATACCCAATATCTCCCTGCCCAAAAAATAACCACGATTATGTTTTTTTAACATATATTCGCTCGACACCTCCCTAACCATAGTATACGACATCCTAGTTAAAAAACAAAACATTTGTATTACATTACATCGAAAGACGGATGTCGAAAATTTAGGAACCACGTACAAAAACTCACAAAATAATTGAAGACCTGCTTGTACGATACTTAAAATCATTTCCTGTATAACTATTTATCATAATTGCCCTTAAATGGTTGCAATACAATTAAATATTATCCCTTGAAAATTCTGTTTAGATCATCACATATAATGCTTAGGCCATCCATATGCATCATGTTCACCGCTTCATTTACAAACACCTAATAACTACACGACTAAGCTAGTCCTGTAGCACAGTTCAGATACGCGCTACTTTCGAGATATCCCCCTTGACTGAACGTCGTTACTGGTAATAGTTATTATGAGGGCCTAAGGCTTAGCATGGTAATCGTGTATAGTGTAAGTCCCTGGGGATATGGTGACGGTGCGATGCTCATGTCTGCTGAACCATCTAAATATACCGACCTATTATCAACTGATATAGAAGAAAGTTGATTCTAGGCATCTGCATATGACCAGCATGTAGTGGGGCTGTAATGGTGATTTGCTTATTTCTAATACAGGGTAGTACCTCATTTGGAATCCTTAGTAATAATGTTAGTGTTATATCTCTAATTATGAAAGTTTTTAGTAATTGAATCCAGAAGGATATTAGGTATATGAATTGAGGTAACAATATTAATATATGCGGAAGAATCTGGCGTTAGGGGGGATAATCAAGTGTTGCATGTTGTACGACATGAATGGTTGGGTGTGAAAAGATGAGGAATGTTTCTGCTAATCAGGCATCGATTTAAACGTATATACTCATATGGGGTAATCGGGGATGCGTTACAAATATTACTGAGAAGTATGCGTGCTTTTGTCATTTTGAAGTAATATACGATTAATTAAATCACAAGGTTATTTGTCGTAAAATTATCCATGGCACATCTAGAGCAGAGACAGTTGTAGTACTTAAGGGGTCATGTCATTTATACAGTTCCCCTGTAGATGCGAATGAGCAAGATACGGTGACAACATTCCATGATTACTATAGGTTTGGAAGAACATTATAATGTGTGCGTATATCATGATCTTGGTAGATTAATCACAGCGGTAATAGTGACAGGTATTAAGAATGTATATCCTTGTGTCAAAAAATTACGCATGAGGAACGGTCATTATGTCTTGAACTTTTACACGATAAGGCCGCAAAAAGTATGGTCAATATGACACGATATGAGGTAGGAGATTACTCATGATAATGTAGTTAGGGTTATACAATTATGACTCTAGGCATGGGCCGTAAAATTACATGGTTGAAAATATACCCGAGGTCTGACATTAGGGGTTGAGTATAGTTGCAGTCCGACAATAGGAAGGAATGAATAGAGTGTTTAAAGCTTAGTATGTTGTGATCCTCCGGTAGATTTAAGTAGACAGTCTAATGCCTAGTATTATGCGATCTCCCGGCAGAAATAATTTTTGTGGTGGAGTTAGGAAGGGTGTATATAACATTAAGGGATGTATATGAGCAGGAAATTGCACGCACATCGTGTTAAGCGATTCATGTCTAATCAGGGAGTTGCAAGGGTGGAGGCCACGTAAACATTGCAATCAAGGGTTGTGAGCGCTAGTAAGATCCAATGAACAATACATTACTAGATTTGCATGAACAGTGTATCTTGCGCCGGTACATATATTGGGACTAGATAATTAGTGGTTCGTGACGAAAACCCATCCCACACTACATGATCATATCCTACTCCTTTTTGAAAAAACCCCAATTAATGATTACAAATGACAAATACATATAGTCCACATACATAATATATGACGACTGTACTACCATCTGATTACCAATAGTTAAACACTTGTAGTACGTGATACGACAGACGTCAACTGACAAGACTAAAATTAACAACATAACAACAGACACCCCTGATAAACCACAGACATAATGAATAATGATCACAAAGACTAGTCCTTAAAATTACATACTGACGAGCAACCATCACCAGTGTTGTTTCCACCACAGTATAGAAAGATGAAAACACCTTGTCCTTGTTTTTTTATCCACACGGTGACAAGAAAATTTTGTATACATTCCTACTATGTATTACGCTGAAAATTGAAACTCAAGAAATTGTTTTCCTCTAGTCACAAAGATATTGGCAATCTGCCACAAGCACTGATGATATATGAAGACACATGCCGGTAATCTGCCATTCGTCATAAATCCGTTCATGCACAAATTCATACGTGCAAAAATAACAACATGGCTGCATAAAACACCAAGTACGTCTAGATACTATAAACCCGCAAAAACAATCACGTACACTGGCGCCAATGGGCAGCATCTAATCATGCTCATGCATTACCTCTACATAAACCTTGCACTTTACGCCAATCATATACTCTCAACCTAACACGCCACGAATTCCACGAACCTAACAGATGAAGTACGAAAAACACCACAAAAAAACCACGATGTTCTGATAACACCCACCCCATCATACTTCACCTAACACTCTGGAATAGCCAAAACCATAATTCGGTGCACCCAGCTCGTGTCTTCACCTATCTACTCCAAACAAATTTGTACGAAGACATCCCTGAGCTGCTAAACACCCGTAGTCGACTGCTTCATCTCCCCAACACAGCACCGCTGGAGAAACACACCAGGAGATCACCATGTAAGAAATTCTACATATCAATACGCAGCTTGCCATGAAGATAATTCCGAGCAATCAACGGAGAATCCAGGATTGCCTCTCACTCCGCTATACCTGTCATCCGACCATCATGCTCCAATGCTATCGGCGACAACAACATACGAACAATCCTCTCAACAATATCCTCCTCCCGCACGACGTAACCATTTGGCACGTCATCATGTTTTTTCGTCACATATACACTGACATCTCGCAGATCGTCACCCACGTAACCTAAACCCACCTCCAATATCAACACCAAAACCCCATTAGCATCAACCTCATAACTACGATAACCAAAACGATTATCCGCCGCAACAAAACCAAAATCGCGATCCGGTTGATGATCCCGATGCTCGAGCATCTCGTAGACAACCACGGTTCGACCACGCACTTGTCCACGACAGACAACCTTCGCCGACATTGCTACCAACACCAAGGATCGCCAAGCCACGAACACCAGAATTCCACACGCCTCCCCCTTACTACACCTCTGATACTCAGTACACCAACCCAACCTTACGATGACTGACTCTATTGAATGACCATCCACCGTGCATAACCGATACACTGATGATTCATCACAACCTCCGAATTCTTTTCATACGTGCATCCCCGTCTCCGCAATATACCAAGCACCTTCGCACGTCGCTCTCTATTTATACACGCATAAGCACACATTATCGCGGCAAAGCTAACCACAAATACTTTAAAACAACATCTACAGAAAAAAACAACGAATATTAACCATAAATCAATCCATCCTTACGCACACAACACACACACTTCACTACACACCTACAGAGACATCTATCAACCAAACAGCCACTAATCAGCTATCTTACCACCCTATTATTCCCCCCTTATATTCTCACTATAAAAGTAATCCCAAATCTGATATATAATCCCACCATAGGCTCGAAATGACAAAACCTCCGCCCTTGTCTACATCGTCCGATAGCACTCCCCCAGATAGCTCTTATACAAACCAAGTTCATCGAACCCACACATTAAACTAAGACACAAACATAGCTCCCCAACCCAAATACCACTCAACCTGTACACCCCAAAACTGGTTCCCAATAATGAATAACCCCTCTAGAGACATCGATCAACCCCAGTCATACTACCAACTAGCTCGCCTCCCTATAAATGCTCCCCATAAATAGTCACGATAAAAATTACCCAAAATCTGATACATAACCCCACCATAGGTTCGAAACGACAGACCCTCTGCCTTTGATAACATCAACCAATAGCACCCTCCCGATAGCGCATTTACAAACCAAGTTCATCAAACCCACACTTTAAACTGAAGTACCTACTTAGCCCACCAACCCAAATACCGCTCAATGCATACACCTTTCTACATTTTTAGAATGTCTGCCCCCAACACTCGTAGAAAGCCCAAACATGTCATATCAACCCCCCACCACACCCATAACCTCCAAAACCAAACAACCCAATATATACAAAATACTGTGGCTATTAATTCTGCCAATCCGTGCATATTCCGCACGCTAAATCTACAAAATCTCATCGGCTGCAGACCCTACTTCATAACATCCCCCATGCTCAACCACATAACCTGACCCTCCCGAAACTTACCAATGCACCCTGGACATGCACACACACACACACACCCTATCCCCAAATAGTCACACATAAATGCAAACGCACTCCCCCCTCACCCCCAGTATAACGCAAGCTCACATTGCAATAGCTAACTTCACAACTCTATAAACACCCACTGCGACCGCTCCAAATGACAGAACCGACTAACACTTGTACGCTGTTGTCACATCCACGATGAAAATGACTTCGCCAAAGGGTGGCATCACGAGCTTGCGAACAAAGCCAAGCCCTTCATCCATCTGGCACCACCAAGCGTCCATTCGCAGATTGCTATGCTCGTCTTACCCGAACCTGTGCTACAGAAGGTCCACCATGCTACTAACTCGCAAGCACCATTCCTCATCGAGAACCTCACGTTCTCAGACTGGGCCATTATCGTTGCCAAATGGAGGACGCTCACAAACGAAGAAAACCTCATCATCCAAACATATGCCAAGGACCTGGGGTCTATCATCAAGCAAGCAACACTGCAAAACAAGGAGATGGATAAGATAATTGCCACCACAAAGAAGACTATCCTCAATCTTCATGGCTTCAGCTCTGCTCATCTCAGCAATCAAGGTGATGTGGACACCACCGACAACTCTAACGAGCACAGACTGAAAATACTAGAACATCTCAAGCCCTCCCAGGCTGAGATGGACTGGTATTTGAGCAAGATTGCACAGAGACAGCAACAGGCCACCAAACCAGTAGCTGCTACCCCTACCCCACACAAAGCCAATGCCTTTAAGATGGCACATGACGCACCATTCATCCCCGTGCAAACGGCAAGATGGATTGAGAGCATTAGCAGCAGCCATGATAACAAGCCCTTGCTACTGGACTCTTTTAACCATACCACCCCCATCACCATCCAAGCATATGCTGCACTCGCCAACCTCTCTGCAGCCGACCTGACCGAATGCAGGGAGGACGCTCAGAAAGCTAACATCTGTAGAACTGCCATCAATGCCAACTTTCCGATTCTTGGACCTTTGGACAATTCCAAATGCCCCAGATGCCAACCCCTGCTCCACCAAAAGGCGGTGCAGAAGCCCACTACAAAGCTCTTTGAATTCAAAAAGCTTTGGAACTCAGGTAGGTCGTACCTCAAATGCAACTGTCCATCGCACAGTGGCATCATTACCTGGTTCGACCACATGCTGTGGTTTTATATTGCCAACCTCGACATCTTCGAGGCTGATCTCCCCTCAAACATGATGAGGATGGTTGAGCTCACGGACAAACTGCAAAACGAATGGAAGAAGCCTGTTAAGTTACAGGTTACCTTCCTGTATATGCGCCGCCACATGATGAACATGACGCAGCTGCTCGTCGCCAATCCCCACCTCACACAAGAGCAACTGGCTGACAAAACTCCATACAGAGAGATGTCGTTTGCCAAGAAGTTCTTGGTCACACTGATTCCGGCACCCAAACCCACTGCCCCCACCCCTACCCCCAGCAAACGCAAGAACCACCCCACCCTTGACATTATCCAGCGCAGTAGGAACATACATATATCCTCCTCCAACACTATTAACAATCAACCCGACGCACACGCACCAACGCAACCTGCACGACCAACCCATACCCCCCCAGCACACGCTGCCACTACCCCAATCCTGCTTAGAGCCACTCCCAACACACCACCCGCGGCTACTAATCCACAGCCACTACACACTCCTCCTCCTCCCCCCCAACAACCATTGCAACTGCACATCAACAATGCTGCACAAGACATACGGCCCCAACCGACACCAGCTCCCCCTGGCAACCGCAGGACTAGAAGAGCTGCTGCTACACACCCACCCAAGAGGTCACAAAAAGGCAGATGGCAGAAACGTAAGAAAAGAATGGCAGCCACAAGAAGAGCACAGCAGCAGCAGCAACACAACCACGCAAACCTTCACCCACCCACACAAACACACCAAGCACACGAGCCACATGCATCAGTGCCACTCGGCCCGCATGATAACAACGCATCTCAGCAATCCTCACTGCACAATACACAACCCCCCAACCTTCCACAGCCCCACACCTTGCAAGCCCAACGATTTCTCCAAAACCTTTTATCCCCACAATAGCAGCATGCTGCAACCACCCCTGCTCGCTCTACCCCAGCCATCACATCAGCACCTTCGCTCTCCCACAACATGCCTCGCTCTCGTAGTTGGATGCCACAAATCCACCAATTCCTCTCACAGCAGCAACAACCAAACACCACCCCCCACAACACCTCTCCCCCTCAAGGTTCCCGCCGCCATAACCCAATCGTACTCGCATCCACTTCCCCTGATACTCCCCCTAATCTTCACAATAACATTAGCATGCTACTCAAACCATACGATGTTGAATGTTCACAGATCAATCCAGAGGAGGACGACAGCTATACCACTGACATCGTCCAAGAAACTCCAGGACAACTCGCTGCCAGCAAGCATACCAGGAGAAACCTCACAGAAGCATACAACCACAATCGGTTATCCCTCACGGACCTCTGAAGCCTGATGAAGCCCCTACACCGGATGCCAAGACTTTACGAATCAACGATTTCAACGCTTGCATCTGTTGCTGCATCATCTTATCTCGAGATACCCACAGACGACTATACAGACCGACATCTGAACTCAATCCTGGATAGCGTTACTGGAGCTTCAAGCCTGAAACAAGCACCTGCCCCACAGAAAAAATTATGCCATTGATGCTGCTAGCAATTATAGACTCTCTGTTATTGAAATAGTAACGTAGAAAATAGCTAGGAACCCAGCATAGTTCTTTGTGGAGCAGGGTATTTTTCTTAGAAATACCGAGTTTATGTTTATTCTTAAATTAGCAACAAGGCTGATCTGCCAAATAAGTTTAATTGCTTGGACCTCTGTTTATGATAATCAGTTCACATAACGACTAGGTAATGTTAGAAAGTACAGTTTTTTGCTCATTGACAATCAGTAACAATGTTTTTTTCCAGCATCGTTATACGATTCTAACGGCAGTGAAGTTCAAAATGCAGACACTTATTCGGTAACCCGTATCAGCCTCGATGGAATGCTGCTACCATAAAAGTCACCAACACACACCCCCTCAAACCCAAATTATTTCTCCTATCACCCATCACTTCCACCCAACCTCGCACTCCTCTCTCCGCGAACATGCCCTTGCCCTCCCACCCTCCGCAACTCTTTCTCTCTCTCTCTCTCTCTCTCTCTCTCTCTCTCTCTCTCTCTCTCTCTCTCTCTCTCTCTCTCTCTCTCTCTCTCTCTCTCTCTCT